TCTGGAAGTGAACTTATCCTTTAAGTTGGGGGGGGCTCTTGGCTTCTCTCCTGAGGCCACAAGAGGCCACACCGGGCAAAATATTACTAACGCACATTTATTACAGTTTTTTTTAACTGCTTACACGCATTTTCAAAACTTTCCAATAACTGCACACACAAAATGCAAAATGCCTCACATCTCTTGCAAAATTAAGCACTGCATTCAAAATATCACAAACACATCTCAAAAGCAAACATTTTAAACACCTTTCCCATAATATTATATTTTTGGATATATCATCATATACACATATTCAAAACCTAAAGCTCTTCTTTCATGAGCTCCTGTGTACATTTCTGTTCAAGATTGAAAGTAAATGGCAGAGAGATGTTGAAAAATCCACGGTAAACACGAAAGCCAGATTGAAAGCAAACTTTTTTGTTACTGTAAGCATTCGTGGTTGTGAATACAGTATCACACAGTACGAAAGAGAAGAAATACATCAAGCATGTGTAGTTGTGTGTTTATAGGTCTGTTCTAAAGCATGATTGGTTGGTGTTCAGTAAACCACATGTGAGGAGTTAGTGATGCATTTTGATTGGTCGTGTTTGAAAAAGGAAATCAAGATACTTCCTGTTAGATATGTGCGTGGTACACAGAGAACTGTGTGTTGTGTTTTGCAAAAAGTGTTTTCTGAAATTGAAAACCGAGTCAAAGGCTGAGAATTAGTGTATGGTTTTGCAGATTTGGTGTGTGCTTCTGCTGTTTGAGTGTCAGCTTTCAGAAACTGTGTGACAAGGAAAGATTCTGTGTGTAAGCAGTTGAAAAAAAAAAAACTAAAGCAATAAAAAAAACATGACTATCTGTGAAAAATTGCATAATGTTTATAAACCAAATACAATTAATTAAGTTGCTTAAACAAAACAGCATCATGTATGCATAGTTTAAATCAAAGAAACGAAAGCCAACCACGTTACTTTTTTCATTTAAAAACATAAGATGCAGTGGGATGGGAAAAAAAAACGCCTTAAAGTCTTGAGACATGTTTTTTTTTTTTAAAGTTGAACTTACTCTTTCTTTCTTCAGTCGCAAAAAAATTAAGTTTGAGGAAAACATTCCAGGATTTTTCTCCATATAGTGGACTTCAATGGTGGCCAACGATTTGAACGTCAAAATGCAGCTTCAAAGAGCTCTACACGATCCCAGCCGACGAATAAGGGTCTTATCCATAGACTGTATAAAAACATGGACGTAGTGTCCGTGACGTCACCCGTAGGTTCCTGAAGAGGTTTTTGAAGCACATAGTGGGCAGAGCGGGCCGTCGCCATCTTGGCAGCGCGTCACCGCGCGTCACTCCCGGATAATCGAAAATGGGCAAAAAGGCGGGAGCAGGTTGCTGAAACCACGCCCACCTAGCTCGACGGTGGTGACAGCAGCGGCAATCCACCTGTCACTCAAGTGGCCACGCCCTTAATTATGCAGAACTTTAAGGCTTAATATACTGTAATTGAAACGGATGAGTTATAAAAAAATTCACCCCCCTCACAGTTGTCATGAAGTGCAAAATTAGCTATATAGACCAAAATAATTTTTTGAACCAGGCTGTAAACATGTTTTTTTCTGCTGTAAAGTTGGGCATTTTAACATGGGGAGTCTATGGGATTGACTCCCTTTTGCAGCCAGCCTCTAGCGGCCAGTCGATGAATTGCAGTTTTAGTCACTTCCGTGTTGGCATCACGAGAGAGAGCGGGAGGTTGCCGCTTGGTCTTATCTAGCGAAACTATTGGTCATTTTCTGAAAAAAATTCATATTTATCCACTTTTTAACCACAAATGCTCGGCTTGTTCTAGCTCTGCGATGCGCGTCTTCACACATTACGTAATCATGTTGGAAAGGTCACGTGCTGGTAGTTCTTCATCTTTGTACTTCATTTAAAAACTCCATCTCTTTTTCTCCTCCAACTTTAAAATCATCCGACATCGTTGTTTTACCTTTTTTGTAAAGTGCATTTGACTTTTCTGCATGTTTCTTTGTAAACACTGGGTCGGTACTTCCGCCTACGTCACGCGTGACCTTTCATTTGTGGTTAAAAAGTGTATGAATATAAATTTTTTTCAGAAAATGACCGATTGTTTCGCTAGATAAGGCCCTTATTCGTCGGCTGGGATCGTGTAGAGCTCTTTGAAGCTGCATTTTGACGTTCAAATCGTTGGCCACCATTGAAGTCCACTATATGGAGAAAAATCCTGGAATGTTTTCCTCAAACTTAATTTTTTTGCGACTGAAGAAAGAAAGATATTAACATCTTGGATGACATGGGGGTGAGTAAATTATCAGGAAATGTTTATTCTGGAAGTGAACTTATCCTTTAAGTTGGGGGGGGCTCTTGGCTTCTCTCCTGAGGCCACAAGAGGCCACACCGGGCAAAATATTACTAACGCACATTTATTACAGTTTTTTTTAACTGCTTACACGCATTTTCAAAACTTTCCAATAACTGCACACACAAAATGCAAAATGCCTCACATCTCTTGCAAAATTAAGCACTGCATTCAAAATATCACAAACACATCTCAAAAGCAAACATTTTAAACACCTTTCCCATAATATTATATTTTTGGATATATCATCATATACACATATTCAAAACCTAAAGCTCTTCTTTCATGAGCTCCTGTGTACATTTCTGTTCAAGATTGAAAGTAAATGGCAGAGAGATGTTGAAAAATCCACGGTAAACACGAAAGCCAGATTGAAAGCAAACTTTTTTGTTACTGTAAGCATTCGTGGTTGTGAATACAGTATCACACAGTACGAAAGAGAAGAAATACATCAAGCATGTGTAGTTGTGTGTTTATAGGTCTGTTCTAAAGCATGATTGGTTGGTGTTCAGTAAACCACATGTGAGGAGTTAGTGATGCATTTTGATTGGTCGTGTTTGAAAAAGGAAATCAAGATACTTCCTGTTAGATATGTGCGTGGTACACAGAGAACTGTGTGTTGTGTTTTGCAAAAAGTGTTTTCTGAAATTGAAAACCGAGTCAAAGGCTGAGAATTAGTGTATGGTTTTGCAGATTTGGTGTGTGCTTCTGCTGTTTGAGTGTCAGCTTTCAGAAACTGTGTGACAAGGAAAGATTCTGTGTGTAAGCAGTTGAAAAAAAAAAAAACTAAAGCAATAAAAAAAACATGACTATCTGTGAAAAATTGCATAATGTTTATAAACCAAATACAATTAATTAAGTTGCTTAAACAAAACAGCATCATGTATGCATAGTTTAAATCAAAGAAACGAAAGCCAACCACGTTACTTTTTTCATTTAAAAACATGAGATGCAGTGGGATGGGAAAAAAAACGCCTTAAAGTCTTGAGACATGTTTTTTTTTTTTTAAAGTTGAACTTACATTAATTTTACATGGCTTTCTAAACATGCGACTCTCTTGTGCGAGACGTGACGGTGATATACGCAAAATATGTGTTCTGTGTGAACGGCTTGGTTTCAGTTTCGACGTAAACAACATCTCCGCATTGATGCTCTCTTTTTTCCGCAATATTTGAATGAACGCAGCAGTGCCTTATCTAGTGGCTTCAACTAACAAAACAATAAAAAGCAATGGCACTTGCATCGTCATCGCATCTTGTGCGCCACTGACCTAAAATTTGAACGTTTTTGCATTCAAATGTGGATTTTTATTTTAAATTCTACGAATATTTTGAAATTTTACTAGTGTCAGGTTTTTATAGTTAAAACTAAAACCATAAAAATATTCTGCATTAATTGAAATAAAATTAATTTTATCTGAAATTATAAAACAAATCTATCAAAAATTAATTCAATATCTAAAATGCAAAAATTTTATATTAATATTATTTTATTTCAGTTAGTTTATAAGCTTTAGCTTAACCTGATGTACTAAAATAACCAAAACAGAAACAATTATAATAATGCATTACAATTTAACTAAACCCTTTAGATTTTAGTCGACTAAAATTGTATGATATTTAGTTACTAAATCTATTCAGATGACTAAAATATGACTAAAACTAAATGGCATTTTCGTCAAAAGACTATGACTAAAACTAAATCAAAATTAACACTGATTCACACATCACTGAACTCGATGAACTGCCTTTAACTGCATTATTTAACTGCATTATTGACACACTATTTTCCTATTTCATACTGTAAAGCTGCTTTGACACAATCTGTATTGTTAAAAGCGCTGGGTCAAAGACGTTAAGACGTCCGCATCAAAAGAAATTTACAAAAGTGATTATATGTCAATAGAAAGCACATTAAATACAAATAAAGTATACTTTTAAGGTTTCAAATAAGTTTTTGGAGAATAAAATGTTTCAACAATTTGGTTGAAATAATGCTACGTTGTCATTCAGTGTAACACTTATAGTTATGTAAAAATTCAAACAACATGCTTATTCTGACCTGTACATATTAAAGTATATTAAAGAATAAGGGAGCATATTACATTTTATTGTGTTTTAAATGAGGAAAAATTCTTACTGACAAATGGGCAAAACCTAGAATAGTGGCACATTATAAAAATTTAAAATTACAGCTAATTAGTATTTGGGGTGAAAGTAATTAGTCTTTTAATATGTCATAAATTGATTTTTGTTGTAAATATGCCTGACAAGATTGTTACACTGAATGATATTTTAGTGGGTCTCTTCTGTAAATCAGGGGAAAATGTATGATATTTATTTTTTGCTCAGAAAAATAAAAACAAAATTGCAATTAAATTAAACAGAAAACTTTTTACATTTTTGGGGGAAAAACAACAACAATTTAAAGCAGTATTACATTTATTGTTTTTATGCTTAAACCCTTTTTCGTCTTTGACCCCACTACATAAATAAAGGTGACTTGACTTATGCTCCTAAATACATTTTACAGTTCGTACACATCTATTTTTAGTTGCAAATGCATAATAAATTCAAGAAACACAAAACTGAATTTGAAATGTCCACATTTCAACATGACGTTTTTTAATGCACTCACCAGGACTCGATCGAAGGCGGATGGCGTTCCTCCTCTCTGAACGTGGCCCAGGACAGTGACCCGCGTGTCGTAACCCAACCGCTGAACCACCAGCTACACACACACACACACACACACCAGCACAGACACACACACACACACACACACACACACACGTGAACAACAGGCTCAAACCAGCACAGAACTGACAAACAGCTCCGTCTGAGAGTCTCACGTCTTTGACGTAGTTGGAGGAGATCAGCTGGCCGTGTTTGTCGATGGCTCCTTCTGCGATGATCACGATGTTCAGACGAGAGCCTTTACTGCGGCTCTGCAAAACCACACACATCCATTCATAGAGTCAAGAGATTTCTACAACCTAATATGTGACCCTGGACCACAAAACCAGTCATAAGGGTACATTTTATGAAATTGAGATGTATGCATCATGAATAAGCTGAATAAATAAGCTTTACATTGATGTATGGTTTGTTAGGATAGGACAATATTTGAAAATCTGGAATCTGAGGGTGCAAAAAAATCTAAATATTGAGAAAATCATCTTTAAAGTTGTCCAAATTAAGTTCTTAGCAATGCATATTACTAATCAAAAATTAAGTTTTGATATATTTACAGTAGGACATTTACAAAATATCTTCATGGAACATGATCTTTACTTAATATCCTAATGATTTTTGGCATAAAAGAAAAATCTATAATTTTGATCCATACAATGTATTGTTTGTTGGCTATTGCTACAAATATACCCCAGCGACTTAAGACTGATTTTGTGCTGCAGGGTCACATATATGAACAGAAGCAGGTCTGTACGATTAATCCAAATAAAACCCAAACTGCGATATGGCTTAGTGAGATTATCAAATCGATGAAATTTCATTGAATAAATTCAAGCTTTGCATGCTTCACAGTGAAGCGCGGCACATTTCAAGCATAAGTTACACACTTTATAGGCTCCCTGCAGTTTTCCTTCAAAATAAAAGTTCAACCGTAACTGTAATTTTAAAGTTGTGGTGTAAAATAAAATTATATTATATTTATACTTTACTATACTTTACTTTTACAGTGAAATATTACAATAGTTATACTGTTGTTTTTATTTAGTCATTTTTAGTTATTTTATTTAGTAATAATTATAATAGTAATTATAAAAAATAATTGTATTGTTTTTATTACATTTTTATAAAAATTATTATTATTATTATATTATTATTAAGCCATATTGATATAATCACACAATGCTGGCCAAATGTGAAGCCCTAGTCCAATAGTCATTTCTTATTTTGTTTTAATATAGTAATTGTAATATTTTTTATTTAGTAGCAGTAATAACATTAATACATTAAATAATTTTTTATAATGTACTATTATTATTATTATTACCACCATTCCATTTTGGCCGAATTGTGCAGCCCTAGTGCAATAGTAATATTTCTTATTTTGTTTTTATTAGTTTTTTTTTTTTTTTTGTAATAATAATAATAATAATAATAATAATAATAATAATCATTATAATTATTATTCCACTGTTATTTTATAGTCATATTGATAATCACAAAATGTTGTGTATAATGTTAATATATTTAATAGTAATAAATCAAATTATGTTTTTTTTTATTTACAATTTATAAATCATATTATTATTATTATTATTATTATTATTATATAGCCATAATTGATATAATCACAAAAGTTTAGCCAAATTGTGCAGCCCAAATGCCATATTAATATTTCTTATTTTGATTTTATTTAGTAACTAATATTTTTACAGCAATAACAATAATTATTTTTTATTAAAAAATTTTTATTTTTTTTTTAATGTATAGCTATATTTATATAATCCCAACATTAGACCTCTCCTGCCGTCTCACCTCTCCAAGTCGAGCGCACATGTGATCCTCCCATCCGTCCTCCGGCGGAGCCTCCGGGATGAAGAGCCAGTCGGCACCAGACGCCAGAGCGGAAACCACCGCCAGATACCTGCAGAACCAGACCAGATCAGACCAGACCAGACCACACCACACTGCATCAGACCAGACCAGACCGGATCAGACCAAACTAGACTGGATCAGATCAGACCACACCAGATCAGACCAGACCACACCAGACTGGATCAGACCGGATCAGACCAAACTAGACTGGATCAGATCAGACCAGATCAGACCACACCAGACTGGATCAGACCAGACTAGACTAGACTGGACCAGACCAGACCAGACTGGATCAGACCAGACCAGACCAGACCAAACTAGACCGGATCAGATCAGACCAGACCAGACCAGATCAGACCACACCACACCAGACTGGATCAGACCAGACCAGACCAAACTAGACTGGATCAGATCAGATCAGACCAGACCAGACCAGACCAGATCAGACCAGACCACACCAGACTGGATCAGACCAGACCAGACCAGACCAAACTAGACTGGATCAGATCAGACCAGACCAGACTGGCTCAGACCAGACCACACCAGACTGGATCAGACCAGACCAGATCAGACCAGACTAGACAGGATCAGACCAGACCAGACCGGATCAGACCAGACCAGACCAGACTAGACTGGATCAGACCAGACCGGTTCAGACCAGACCACACCAGACTGGATCAGACCAGATCAAGACCAGACCGGATCAGACCAGACCACACCAGACTGGATCAGACCAGATCAAGACCAGACCGGACCAGACCACACCAGACTGGATCAGACTAGACTAGACTGGATCAGACCAGACCGGATCAGACCACACCAGACCGGACTGGATCAGACCAGACCAGACGCCCTTATGAAGAATAAAACACCTGAGGAAGTGAGCATGACGTACCCGCAGTGGCGTCCCATCACCTCCAGCACAAACGTCCTCTGATGACTGAAAACAACACAAACACATGAGTGAGAGACAATTCTGCTCAGCAAGGCTGCATTTATTTGATCAAAAATACAGTAAAAATATGAAATATTATTAAAGTGTAAAACAGCTGTTTTCTAAGTGAATATCTGTTAAACTGTAATGTATTTCTGTGATCAAAGCTGTATTTTCAGCATCATTACTCCAGTCTTCAGTGTCACATGATCTTCAGAAATCATAATAATATGCTGATTTGCTGCTCAAGAAACATTTCCGATTATTATCAATGTTGAAAACAGTTGTGCCGCCCAATATTTTTGTGGAAACAGTGATACATTTTATTTTTCAGGATTCACAGATGAATAGAAAGTTCCGAAAAACAGTATTTATTTGAAATAGAAATCTTTTCTAACATTATATATGTTTTTACTGTCACTTTCAATCAATTTAATGCATCCTTGATGAATAAAAGTATTAATTTGTTTCCAAAAAAAAAAAAAAATCTTACTGAATGGTAGTACGGTTAGTTATTATAGTAATATTTATTCTTTTGGTTTAATGATTAATTTTAATATTTATATTTAACAGTAATAGTATTATTAATAATATTATTCATAACAACAATAATAATTGTTACTATTATTAAGTCTTAAATAATATTATTTTATTTTATTTATTAGTAAAAACAATAATAATAAGAAGAAAAATTATAATTAGTTATTTAATGTTAGGAATATTGCACATCTTTGAAAATAAGTGAAAGTAAATTTTCCATTGAAGTGAAAGTCATTATGAGATGAAGATCTGGCACTGCTGAGGTCAGTGAAGGTCAGACTATGGTTTTTATGATTTGAACATGTGCTGCTGCAGTAACTTGCATTCGTTTCTTGGCAAGAGTTAATTTTTGACTGTGTGTCTCTTGGCTGTGTGAGTGTGTGTGAGTGTGAGTGTGTGTTCGAGTGTGAGTGAGTGTGTGTGTGTGTGTGTGTGTGTGTGAGTGTGAGTGTGAGTGTGAGTGAGAGAGTGAGGGAGAGAGAGAGAGAGAGAGAGAGAGAGAGAGAGAGAGAGAGAGAGAGAGAGAGAGAGAGAGAGAGAGAGAGAGAGAGAGAGAGAGAGAGAGAGAGAGAGAGAGAGAGAGAGAGAGAGAGAGAGAGAGAGAGAGAGAGAGAGAGAGAGAGAGAGAGAGAGAGAGAGAGAGAGAGAGAGAGAGAGAGAGAGAGAGAGAGAGAGAGAGAGAGAGAGAGAGAGAGAGAGAGAGAGAGAGAGAGAGAGAGAGAGAGAGAGAGAGAGAGAGAGAGAGAGAGAGAGAGAGAGAGAGAGAGAGAGTGTGTGTGTTTAACCTTTGTGCCGTGGTGGTGATTGCATCAATAACTTCCATGATCCGATGCAGAGCAGAATCAGCTCCGATCGTCATGTCGGTTCCACAGAAATCATTATCGATGGATCCCACCAGACCCACGATGTTCAGATGCGTGTGCTGCTGTGCCAGAGTGTCCGTGATCCGGCCTGAAACACACAGACACGCTCCACATCAGCTCCTGTTCACCATAAGAGAAGCTCGAGGCGTGTTTTAATTCAAATGCACTGTTGCTCAGTGACGAGGGACACAGGAAGCTCTTGGCAGCTTCTAATGGAGCGCAAACAGAAACGCTATTGATGCTGCTGTACTGAAGCAAGTGGAGCGTAACATTGTGACACAGAAAAGAGAGAATTTCAAAAGAGATCCAGCTCTGTCTAAAGTCCTGCTGTTCTACTGAAAACCGGCAGATCAGCAGGATCTGGTTTCAGTGTAAGAGGCCTGAACTGTCTCGTACAGACGCAGTGTTGTTATCATTAACTAAATCTAAAAACAAAACCATTAAAAAACATGTTAACTGAACATAAATTAGGTATTTAAAAAAAATGTAACTTATTTTTATTTCAGATATTCGCCATGCCAACATTTCTCATTTTTTTCAGGTAGCGAAATTCAATTTAAAATGCAATATGCAAAATGGCAACGCAATATTCAAAATGGTATTGTATTTCTGTATTTAAATTTAAATTTTCCATTACCCATACGTACAAAGTTTGGTGCAAAAGGAAAATGAAAATTAAATTATATAATTTATATTTGCCATTTCCAACAGTAGTCTTAATATGTAAATTGCATGCAAATTTGAACGCTTTATAAGTTGCGAAATGA